TTTACCTTAATCAGTTTTCCAAGGATGAAATAAAATTGTTTATAGAAGAAAAGGTCTTTTGTAAGCAAGATGCTTAAGAAGCCTGTGAACAGGAAGAAGGGCAGCCCCTCAGCCTGGTGTTATGTTCCAGACAATAAACTGCAAACATCAGCCCTGTTCACCCTGGGATTTTGTCCTATTATTGATAAAATGTAGCCTATATAGAAGGCTGCACAAAAGGAAAGGATGTCACTGGAAGGGCATTACCTCTCCTTCAACACTGAAACCTCCCTTCAGAATTGAGTTTGGGATCTATGTTTATGGGTTGTTTTTGTCCCCCACCAAGAGTGCAGGGGGAACCAATGTGATAGAGTGGCCAAATTTTAACTCAGACGGTTGCAATTCAGGGGCTGCATCATTTAACGCTTTAGGAAGCTGGAGAAAATTCAGGTTTCATTAATATATTTTAATCATAGTCAATAAGGAGAAACCTTAAGAAGGTGAACTCAGAATGTGTTTGGTTTGGTCCTGATTTAAAGAGAGAAGAGGAATCTTGATTAATCAAGGAACATGTGAGCCTACCAATCTTCATAACACAGATTCCTCTCTTTTACCATCTTCTCTGTGTTCTTCTCCTTTACCTTCTCTATCCCTCTCACTTCCCTCTTCTTATTTTCATTTTATTTACTTATTTACTTATTTATTTATTTATTTATGAGAGGCAGGGAGGGGCAGAGGAGAGAGAGAGAAAGAAAGAAAATCTTAAGTAGGCTCCACGCTCAGCTCCTATGTGGGGCTCCATCCCACAACCATGAGATCATGACCTGAGCTGAAGCCAAGGGTGGGATGCTTAACTGACTGAGCCACCCAGGCTCCCCTCCTCTCCTTATTTTCAATGCCCAATTTGCTCACCTTTCTTATCTAACCTTTTGTTTCTCATCTTGCCATTCTTTCTGGCTTTTACCTTCTCCCCTCCCCCAACGATTGTATTCTGTAATGACCAGGCTTTGGGCAAGAGCCTTTCCAAAACATGCTTTAGTCCCTAGTTCAAAGAAGAAACAGCCCTCTATACCTTGCCCTCAAAAAAAGAGATTTTTAAGTAAGAATGAATCCCACAATTTCTGACAGTTTTGTTTTGTATTTTCTGGCTACTGATTATTTCAAATTGACTCTATTTAAAGGTTTCTTCATTAACTTTGTATTTAAAATATGAACATGGCCAAGGGTGCCTGGGTGGCTCAGTAGGATGAGCATCAGACTTCTGGCTAAGGTCATGATCTCACAGTTCCTAGGTTGGAGCTCCATGTCGGGCTGTGTGCTGACAGCTCGAAGCCTGGAGCCTGCTTCAGATTCTGTGTCTCCCTCTGTCTCTGCCCCTCCCTTGCTCATGCTGTGTCTCTCTCTGTCAAAAAATAAATAAACGTTAAAAATTTGTTTAAAAAATAAAATATAAACATGGCCAACTTATTGTTCTCTTTTGTTCCTGACTAAAGTACATCCTATCATTAGAATTCCACACATTGTATCATTGTATTCCTTTTTATTTTCTATTACAGAAAGAAAGAAAGAAAGAAAGAAAGAAAGAAAGAAAGAAAGAAGAAAGAGTAAGAAAGAAAGAATGAATATCCCTTCCAGGGTATATTTCTTTATGTGATCCTATCATTTTCCCAGGATTGCTCTCTGGGCTCTGAAAAGGTAGATGTTTTAAATAGTGTAACAATATCTGCAAACTGGTTTCTATCATCTAGATGAACCAAGCTACATATTTTGTTGCTTAGTTATTAGATCCACTGTGTGTGTCTCCAAAGAGTATTGCTATACCTTCGGATGGCAGTGTGTTTTTCTGAAAAACAGGTCATGATGAATTTGCACATACAAGAGTTTCTTACGTTTGTCTCGAGTCTCAGTTTATTACATTTCTATACCTTTGGAAGATACTCAGAATAAAATATCCCTGCCTTCTGCATATGTTACTCTTCTTATAAAACCAGAATTTTGTCCTAATAGAGAAAAGAGTGGGCCCATTTCTCTTGCTAGAGATTATCTCAATTGTGATCACAAAGCTATTAAGAGGAAACTTTTACTCTCTTAGAAGCTAATGATAATCTTTCAAGTATTTCGTCTACATGGACTTTTCATCACTGAAAATGGGTAGATAAAGAAGCAAATGGATCATGTGACAATAACAGCAACAAAAGTACACTTTTGCAATGGAGATCTACTGGAATTTATGTCATACTTAGCACAAATCTATGGTAAAGAAGTGAAATTAAAATAACTACAGAGAAAATGCATTCAATAATTTCAGCTTATAGCATCCAGAAATCATGGGGGTAATGTTTTTCTAATTCTGTAGCTGATTGTGTATTCGAAAATATCTAAAAACTATGTTTAATATTTTAAGGTGTAGTTTTCTAAAGACAGAGAGACATTTTCAAATGTACTTAAAAATATTGATGACTCAGGAGATACATGTAATAAACACATACCAGTATATCCCTTATGGCTAAAAACTGCACTCCAAGAAAATTAACAAAAATTAAGTGAGTCGGTATTAAAGTTTCCTCATAACTCTCAAGTTTATCAGATTTAATTACAGTACATTCCAGGATACATAAAATAGAAACAGAAGCAAAAATTTGAGCTACTTTTCAAATTGTTTGGTCTATCATATCCTTAAAATCACTGTTTCCAGGAATCATAAATATCAGAAAAGTCATCTTTAGTAAATATTAAAGCACATCCATTCTTTTAAATTTTCTTGAGTCCTTGAATTCTCTATTATCATAGCACATTTTATCAATTTCAATTAAAAAGAATATACCTTGACTACATTTGGCTAACTACTATTTCTGTTCTTTAAATACATGTCTATTTTTGTTATTAGGAGGCATTAAATCAGTATTAAAAGTAAATTCTAACAAAGTAGTAATGTTGCAGTGTGAATGAATGTAGTTGTTTCTGTTAACAAATCTACCATTATCTCAGTTCTTGAAAATTAGCTTTTCAACTTATTCTTAGTCTACCTTATATGTCTTCAAGTTCTGTGTCTCTCCAAGACCCAGGTGTGCACATAAGAAGTAGATAAATGCTTCCTGCTTACACTATATTTGATTAAAGAGTTAACATACACAGGTCTATAATAGTTAAGATATATAATTAAATGTCAATGAGCAGTCAGGGTCTATTACTTACACTCCAAACAACAATACAACCACACAGCTGATCATTAAAGGTGTGTATGTGTGTGTGTGTGTGTGTGTGTGTGTGTGTGTGTGTATTATACAACCACACAGCTGATCATTAAAGGTGTGTGTGTATATATTTAAAAATCCTTTCACAAACTGAAAATTATGCACACCAAGCTGACAGAGGATACTCATATTCATATGTTGAAGTATTACATGGAATTTCCTAAGCCAGAATGAAAACAACGTTTTCTAGATGCATTATAAAATTCTGCTGATTTAGTAAGGACTGGTGTCATGGAGCAGGAAGTAAACGAATCAGATGCATGCCCATTAGTACTTTAGAAAGTCTTTCTTTCTAAAAGTTATATCACTTTCCTGTTTTTCTTTTTGTACATTCATCCCCTACCTGCAGTCTTTGTAATTTATTTCAAATTTTATGATTTAAGGACAATTTTCCTGAAGCCAATTGAGATGTTTAGGTATACACAAACATTACTGCAATACATCACATACACGATTATGCACTCCATTTTCTTAACAATACATTTGTTCCTTAAGATTTTTTTTCTAAGAATGTAGAAAAGGAAAACTAGGTGGAATTCACACCTGAAGGAATTTGTACAGCATGTGCAAGAATGAACGTTTGAAATTGACAAGAAAAAAAACCTGGTAAGACCTCTGAGATATATTTGAGTTGTGTCTTTGACACAGCAGTTCCTCTTAAACCTGAGACACTAAGGGCATTTGGCAGCCTCAAAACAGACCCATGATCCCCATCTATGTGATTACACTATTCAAAATGTTAAAAAATAGTAGACTCTAAGTGCAGTCTACCATTCAGTTTTAAAATCAAAATTTGGATTCTTAAGCTTATTATTTGTATATGTTTGCTATCTAAGTAAAGAAGAGCTGACTTTCTTAATATTGCCACTTAATTGTAATTTAAATATTCCTGTTAAATAGTTGCTAGCAAATGCTTCAGAGAAAGTGTAGCATTAGCTATAGCTGGAAATCATAGATCCTCACCTTCGTTTCCTATGTGACTTTAAACAATAATTTATTTCCTTGCTTCCCTTGTTTTACTCTTAGATCAATATTTTGTTTTGTTTCATTAGTCTTTGTTTAAATAAGATTGGTTAATTATCTTATTCAAAGGTTATTCAAATAAGTGTGTAATAGCTAGCACTATTTACTCTTATTTTTATAAATATTGTATTATTAAGTGCTATTTTCTTCCTAAGTAGAAACTCATTAGTGTAACCAATTAATTGGTAAAGAAAGAAAAATATATTTTTACTACAGAAAATTGAGATTTAAGTTCAAATGCATGGTTAAAAAAATATCATCTATCACATTCACCTTTTATCCTAGAGTTGGTGCTAATCTAATGCAAAATAGTGGATCAATATGTAATATTCCAAAATAAATGTTTAGAGCATTAGGCTCAGAGATAATCTACTTGAATTCAATGCAAACATAGCAATGCCAAATGAAGTAGATGTAGCCTTTGGGCTGGAAGGGAGAAAATTATCTTCATGTTTCCCCTGGATAATCAAGTCATTGCAGAGAAAACATTATGATTGACAAGCAAATGTAACATTTTTAATGTAATTATGAGAAGTTTGTATCTGCCTTTTACTACATATAGGTATGTGCACAGAACTACCTTAGTAAATTGAGTTAACACTGAGCCATCTATTAAAAATAGGATTAGTCCATTAAACTACATACTGCCATTCTTATTACTCTATCATTTAGAAGGAAAGCAAGGCTTCATTAGTAAATATTTAATACTGTTCTCTAAAATAAAAACACAATAATGTGACCCACCTCCCAATCCTGGTCGCAGACGATTGTCATAACCATCGAGGAGTCGGTCCAAAATCCTGGTGAAGACTGTAGTATTGTCTTTAAGTTCATCTTGCAATGAGGGTTGTCCATAGCTGAAAAAAAAGCATAAATGCAGGTATTAATCTAAATTATACATTTCTATTAAAACCTTTTTCCGAATAAACCCTTCCCTGGATATTCCTACCTTCTTTTCTATAGAATCTTAATTTGAAAATTCCTTTTGGTAAAGTAAAAAAAAAAAAAAAAAAAAAAAAAA